ATTTGATTTGTACCCCATAGGATGCTGGATCTCCGGAGAATACCTGAAGCTGACATAAACAAACCTGAAGTAGTAAATAAAGGTACTGATAGGCAATGACTATGACCTTACGGATGAGTGTACTACTGAGCTTCCACAGTTATCGTTCAAATAACTTTCCATATTACCAGTCAACGGATAAATGTTTCTTTGTCAGTAAAATAAAGAATTATAGAAAATTGTGGGGAGAATCCCATCAACTCTGATGAGCATCTGACACATTATGATCTCTGACCGAGTCACTTTAGTCAACCAGTATTTCTACTGTTTGGAAAGCGAGCCTTTTATACATTTTACGCAAGAGTAACACAACTATTCCGAGTGGAATCACTAGGAGAGTTCAAAATTCCAGTGACTCGGCTTATGTATATTTTCACCATTGTGTTCGGGCGCTCTCAAGCGTAACGTTTTTACTAAAAGCTCGGTGAATTGGACGAGGAAAGAATGTCTCGGAAGACTGCCTCTCTTGAAATTAGTACCTTGTTTGCTGGGAGGCTTCACTTCACCACAGCGATTCTCACAACCATTGTTCACTTCTAGCTGAATGCCCTTTAGAGAACTGAGTGCATATTTGGTTTTTCTGCGAATTTTGTTTTAAATGAGCTGAGGATGTATAGCCGCATAAGATGGTTAAAGGGCTTCGTAGCTGTCAAGCAAGAATAAGGTTCCGGAGATGGCAAAACCAGTACAATATTTGAGAAGCGATGAGGTTCTACTAAGTACAACAAAGTTATTTGAAACACCATCATCGACCACAAAAAATTAGCCCTTGGAGAACTTAACAAGGTTCACTACTGTCATCCGAAATGAACCTGAATTGACTGCGACAATAGATATGTTCTAAGTCAGATTTTTGTTTTTATGGAATCTACATAATTTTAGAATTAGATGTCTTCGGGTTTGTAAAAGATTTTGGTGTGTTAATTTTGAAGCCCGCCACATGTGGTAAAAATGAGCCTTTTCAATCACATTATACGGATACACGTCTGAGGATTGCCAGTCTCATCCGCAGAAAAGCACGCATTCTAAATTTTTACCGATCAAAACGATACGCTTTCTTGAGTGACCACTTAGTTTGGCTTTGTGCTCAAAGGCAGAGCACGATCATGTCCAAACCGAATTAATTCGACATTCTATATACCAATGATCATTTTGTAGACGTACTTTGACCAGATTGACACGTCCAACCCTAAGCAAATGGAAATTGATAGTTCGGTATTTGTTACTGTTGAAATGTATTGGAATTTGGCTGTGAAAATTTCGTTCTGGTAAGCTCTATAAAATATGCTGCTGTAAATTGTATCACTACGCTTAATTAGTGACCCACAATCTGTTACTTTTCGCCTAAATGTTGCACATTCAAACGTAATAGGAAAATTGCTGTGTGTTTGGTGGAACCATTTATCTTGAGAGATCCATGGAATTTCGTTCTGCGGGTGACACGAGCGGTACCCTAAAAACGAGTTGGTGGAAGCTTTCTTTCAGACAATTCTATAATTCTTATAATAAATTCAGTATCGTACATTCTTATAGCCAATTTATCACCTTTCAACTCAGGGTGGTTAACTAGTGTTTATTTGAAATTTTACAAGGAAATGCTGCACACTGTTCTTTGAACTTTTAATATAGATAGACACCTTCAGAACAGATGAAACCGCCTTAACTGAAATATCCGAAGAATTCTTTCATGAATAATTACGACCCAGATGCTGCACGTTGCCCCATGTAGAATATCTTTCCCGATAAAATGTTAAGACAGATATATAGCTCGAGGTTAGGGAGTTGTTACCGCACATGCTCGAATTTTTATCCCCAAAGTCGGTGTGAATATAGTACAATCGCCCAATGGTATGTTTGTGAAATGCTGGCAGATGGTTCCGAAAGCATTGTGGAAAGAGTAATTAAAAGTGACCGACAGCTCAACACTTGGTTTCCTTGCGTTATTTTCCTCGGAAAATTATAGTTTTCAAATGGAATTTCGATAGAATTTTGTTTCCACAAAAAACAAGAGGGACAGAGTTTCACTCAAAAAACCGTGGTGGCAGTTTCAACCTGGTTTGATGGACACCAGGTGGCGCAGTTCAACGTGCATACCAAGCCACGGCCAACATTGAGTTTTCTAAATTGCGAATATAATGATGTTCGCTTACTTGGTAGATGTCACTGTATCATATTATCCAATGCATTCTTATATTCAAAATCCAGTTTAATCTCCACCCAACCAGCTAAATGAGCGGAATGTTCTTCTAAGAAGGAATAACAGCACCAAAAGTTACCCAACATTTAAGAAACAAGCAAAATCTTGCTTATTTTTATACCAGATTAGTATATTTTACAAACGTTCCTCAAACACCGACTACGTCTTTCGTTGAACTTTAAGGAAAAATTGAGCTTCTAATGGGAAGTTGTGGTCAGTAGATCAAAGCCGGCTTCAGACTCGCTTGTCAAAAATTATCTATCTTTGGACAGCAACTAACCTTAAATAAAAGTGTGAAGCGAGGAAATTGAAATCGTTTCAGGAGGGCTCGGTAAGCAATCGGTAGTTTTTTGTTAGGCAACGTTCTGACACAAAAACTTCATCAGGCCAAGTGAGAAGCTCATCAACTTGATCAGGTTTTAAGGCAGTCGGAGAACCATTCAGTAAAACATCTTCATATTAGCGCACTAGAACAGTGTTGCGTGTCAAGTAGTGGCTCTAGCCGGTTAGCGTGGTTACTGAAATCTTGCTTTGATGGGTTGGAGGATCTTCGCATTAATTCCACTCGAGTTTGGTTCGTTAATCATCCACTTAAGGGTGGTTCAGTCAATGATTCACCGCGAGTGTCACTAGTGGACTTCGCTGGTATTCATGGGTTTGTGAGTGTTACGATGAGCAAGTTGAGGGATGGTAAGTGGCTAAGGTGAGATTCATGTGATGGCTACTCCTCTTTATGGTGAACGCACACCAACATGCCTCAGCTCAACTGATCCGAAACCTTTCCCCACACGCTTGCCAGTTGCCCGCCTGCTATTCCGTTAACAATGGGATGCTTGGCTATTTCTACCGCTTCTGCCATCAGCTTCTGTTATGCGAACGTTGGTCCTCTCCTCAAAACCTCAACATTTTCTAAATCAGTTTCATGTCCCGTGTCTAGTGCACGCTCCGCCATTTCCGAGTCTTTCAGTAACGCTCGAAATTCATCTGCGTTTTTCGGTGGCCTGTTTATTTTTCTCCTATGCTTCCCGATTCTGGTTTGATGTTTCTTAAACGTCTGTCCTATTTATTGACCTAAGAACAGTCAGTACACTTACTTTTGTAGACACAATCCCTGGTTGGGTTTTCCGAAAAGCGATCCTTCAATCGCAACAGTGCAGAGCACAGAATGTTTTCCTTCTGCAAATCTACTTTAATGTTAACCGTGTTTAAAATCGTTCGATTGATCTTTGATGTCCCTGGTTTATATGGAATAACAGCAGTCCCAGTCCGTTTCTTGTTGGGTTTTGCCACTGGTAACAACACTCTTCACAAGTGCATCCTAATCAAACTAGCCGGAAATCCGCTACTGCGAATTTCGTTCTTTACTCCAATTGAGGCCGCTGTCCGATCAGCTTCTTCTGTGCACGGGGCACTTACGCACCTAAACATTGAAAATTGAAATCGTGTTTTTTACTCACCTTGTCCATGCACTGCCTCCCCCCCCCCTTTATAAAGTTCGCTAAATAACCGGTTAGAATACACTAATTTGCAGATCAATTTGGTTTTTACGAGAGACCCAAATGAATTTCTCTCTCAAGTAGAACATAAGGTTGACGGAGACTCCGGAACTGCGCTTAAGTGATGAGCCCCAAGAAGGGCGAAACCGCTCGTGGGCTGTGGACGATTTTTCAGCAAACTTGTGAGTATTTTCCTTTATGAAAAAAACCGGTTGGAATGCTAGAGTCAGTCAGACGCGAGGTGGTTATTTGTACTCACAGTGACACATTTGACATTGTAAGGTGTACCGTGAAAGAGGTAAGAGTCGTGTGATACTGAATCTTGCGGATAAAATAATGACTATCAAACGTAATTATGACAGGATAGGAACGACCATACACCAGATCATTTAAGGATGCGTTTACAGCAGTTTAGAAACAATGCGCAGCAATCAAAAGGTAGACAATATTACATACGAGAGCCAACTAGGGCCAGTTCAACCATACCCATTCATGAGACATATTTCATTGAATGTTGATAGCGATTGCAAAAGTTGGGGCGTGCACAAGATGTGTAGATGATATGTTTGAGTTTTTGTTCAAACGGCGAGCATATTCATAATATCACGAAACTGTTTAGATGTATTAAGGGTTATAGAGACAGTATTACTGAAAATGTGTTTGTTTTCCGTAGATCGGCTTGACCTGATGGGTATACGGATCACGATCACCAAGTTCACACAGAAAGTTACTGTAAAATGAATAATGTCGTCACTTACCGTAACGTGGCACGGAGATTAGTTTCCTTTACCCCGAAAAAGTTGCCAGATCTCCCATACGTATGTTGGGAGGTTTACCACTGGCAGGATCGAGGGTTCCTCCATACATTTCCCTGTTATTTTTCATCCCAACCATGAGCACATGGTGTTGATTGNCACTTTTACGTCAGAAATCAGTGCTAACTCTCTTACTCGTCTGACGAGCTCTTGACCTCTTTTTAACTGTACTGAGCAGTTTAACACTCTGGATTTACATATAGTAAGTTTAATGCGCTATGTTCCAGTTCGGCTTTCCGGAATAGTTTCCTTAGCATTTAAAACGCCATATAAAAATTGCAAACACTGGGCGATCGCATGTGTTAAAGATTTATTTCTCAATAATTTATAACTGAAGTTGCATGTAGCATAAAATGCGATTTCTTCGCATTTTAATTATACAGGTACTTTCAGGCTGACTAAAAGACGAAAATATGTGCATATCACAAACCCATATTTTCCATTTCTTTTAAGCGATATACCGTGTTGTACAGTACGGATAGTAAACTTCCAGTGAACAAATGGCATCGCATCGAAACGAACTTGCAGACGACACAAATTCGGAACCTCAAATCCATGCAAACCTACTTTCTTAAAGTGGCAGCATCCAATTCAGTCGGAACTGGACCGTTTTCAGAGCTGACCCCGGTTATTGTGAAATTCGGAGGTAGGTGCATAAACCCGTTTACTCAACAATGCATGTCTTTGTTTATTTATACGTCGATATTTCTGCACGGTGCCGCCTTCTCTGGTGGTAAAATGCTACCAATTTGCTCATCTCACAAGAAAACTAAGGGAACATCAAGACGTGTTTCCGCTACTGTGGCTGTCCGAAGAAGCGAAGTCCTTCAATAAAAAACCTAATTTGGATGTCCTCTTTTACGTTTTTAATCTTAGGCAAACGCATCTAGCGTGTACAAACTTATACGATGCAAAACGCATACACGGGGTAATGCCTTCTTAGTTACTGAGAAAACTGCACTGGCTGCCAGAAAAAATGACAATGAAATCAGCTGCATAATACTGTTCACAAAGAGTGGAAGAATGGTGCTGCAACTGGTTGGTAGTGTGTTACATATCACTGATAATTTGGTGCTATTGTAACGGACACTTCCCCTCCAACCCCAAGAGCTCTCCAGTGGTGTTGAATATCTGTCTCATGGGAATGTCTGAAATGTTGTGAGTCATTCTGCATCGGCTGTTTAGCTGCCTATTCTGTAGAAATATCAGTAGGGTTCGATCCAATGGTCTGCGTTTTTGATGCGAAACAAAAAATCATTTGAAAAATCATTTGCCCACTACCTTTATTTACCACGAAGTGTACAATAATTCAAGAATAAATTTGACGGTCATATTATCAGCTTTGCCTGACAAGTAAACAATAGCGCAAGGATTCGATTGAATTTGCCTCCGGTTTTTGCGAATTAATTTCAGTAGGACTGTTGAGCAGTGCTAGAGGCGTTCCTGTACCAAGAAGCCCAAAATCTCCCATAAATAATTACTGCTCACAAAAACCGGCTAAAAACTGCTCATGTATAATACTTTCCTCTTAAAATATGTCTATGCGTGTTTTTGTTTTTCCACAGGCTACAGTTGTAGCTTTAAAAATGTATGCTGTTGGATCAATCCTATTTAGATCTCCATTCTCCTTCATCCTGTCTTTAGTTAACGTCAACTTGTGGAATCACAGTACCAGGGTTTCCCTATGATTAGACCTATCCGCATTGCGTATCCTGCATCTCGTCACAGTGCGAGATCCGAACCTACAAATTGTGGCGCAGACGGGTCTTGTAGACCGCATCTAAGTTATCCTCGTTTACCAAGTCAAGGCGTTTATCACGGGGCTTGCGATTCTCTGGCACGATCCTTCTAAAGGCCAGGCGGTGCGTATGTCGACGGGTAATAAGTCATAACTTCCTCGTCAGGTCGCGCCGGGAACGGTAGCTATTCATTTGACAGCTCCGAACATATCAGTAGCCATTATTTTTACTCTAAGTTTAGGTGAGGCAAATTATATTACCTTTCTTTTCGGAATGATTGACCAATACATTTATGTTCAACTCCCTTAATCTGTTTAGTATACCTTGTTCTATCTAAGCGGCCACTAGACGCGATCCCACACCAGACCTATAATTCAGTCGTAGTGTTTGCCACTTAACTCACAGGTGCGGTGGTTAGATAACAATACTTTACAGTGGGATACTTTTGAGGGTCAGTCCCAATGTTTATAGGGAGCTAAGACTTAATTTGTCTAGTCAGTAAAATCAGATCAGTAACCAATGTTTATTCGGGCGGATGAATATCCGCCACCTCAGTAGCTCAGACATCAGTGCTGTCAAAGCAGCAAGGTGATAGCTCCGAATCTCCCGGTCAATTAAAATCTCTATTCAACGAGTAAAACACACGTCAGGTAACATGGGACATCACTCAGAAATTGGTCATTTGGGAGGCAGAGTTACGGATTACGTGAAGAAACCGTACGAATAAACAGTGGGTGACGTTTTAATCCAAGCCCATTGTAATCACGCAATCTGATGAAATGCTCATCAGAATGCCATAAGGAAGGTGGAGATTTGGATTCTTCCTACGGAATAGTCAGGTATGAACAACAACAGCTGTGGATCATCTTCGGCTTATCGGCAGAGTATGGCTGAACTTCCGGATTATATCCAGACCTGAAAAACCTAAAAACCGCGTTTGAGTGTAAAATTGTACCCATCCCCCAAACACACCCAGATGGCACCAGGATCTAAAAATTAAGCGAGATTCTTCAGAGATAGGTTTATTTTAGAAAAGGATCAATGACTCAGGAAACATTAACAACACTCCGGCGAGGTTTCTACCCAGGGACGTCAGATATGCATTCCACATTTCACTTGCTTAGGTAAATGTATGTGTCGGCACAATGGAATTTTGTGGCAAGAAACCGTTTTGTGAACTTCAAGTCTTACTGTATGTGAACACACCGCTTTGCATTTTGTTCTATAAAAATGTACTTACTAACACCAGCCATTAAAGCCAGTTCTCACCGCGGTAAGTTAACTCTTATTCCTTATGGTCCACTGTAAAATCCTACCAAAATTCTCTTGTCGTGCAATACTAGTGTAACTTTTGTAAATAATATTTCTGGTGCTGTTTCCTCAACTTGTTCTCGATACATGGTGATAAGCACCACATTTGTTCATCTGGATCACCTTCGTCAACCTGGAGATGCCACTGTTAGATAGTGCCGAAAGATCCGGCAATAAAGCGAAAAAACGACAGCGTCATTACGGTCCCCTGTTACTGCCTCGTAGGACCCACCCCTCTTAACTTTGGTCCTTTAAAATCCAAATGTTTTTATCCAGGTGAAAGTATACACCAAAAGCATACACATTTCGTTGTTTTACTGCAAATATCTTCGAGACACCGTCCAACGATGAACTCCCAAACGAAGCATTAGAGCGGCTAGCAAAGTTTGGACGATGTTGTGGACTTTATATCCCATTGTGATCATTCCGGATTTAAAAAAACAAGGAATGAAGTTTGTCTAGCATTTTACTGATCAACATTAGTGTATCCAAAATATGCTCTGGTCAGCAGCTCATATGAACAGCTTTAGTTATGGCACATCACTGTCAATAATTCAGCGAGTAGCTGGTGGCTTACAAGACATCATAATGAGGCAGAAACAAAGTGTGACCGTATAGAATATATTCGGAATGGAAATTATCAAATCGCTTGCGAAATGTTTAGAACAATACCTGGGAAGAACCAGAGAATCGGAGTGAAGACGTGCAGAAGTCCTGGGATTATCAGCTGAAGTTTTCGAAGATGGCAGCCGTCATGAGAGGACTGGACCTTTCATTAGTGTGTTATACTTCAGTTATACTGTGACACTTAGATTCTGTAATACCAGGATGGGCAATGGTTTGAGATGCGATTAGCTTAGTCTCCTGGCCCCCAAGTTGAGGGCTGCAACATGAGTGGTGAAATGTTCCTGAACTAATGAACAGGTATGTCCTGCCAAACATCGCTCTCCTGCGATCAGCTTCTGAGCCGAAGTCCTTAGTCAAGGACCTTAATCGTTCACCCTAGACACTATTCCAGCTCAATTACATAATTGTTACCTGATAACCTGATGCCTCGATCGTCGCGTGGTGTCATCGACCGGATCGCCTTACTTGCTGCACACGACAGGGCGGGTCAGCAAAAACAGCCTATCGCCGACGCCTCCCTTCGTTCAGTCGTGCAAAGGGGATATCGATCAAACAATGTATCCGTCAGAAGAAGGTGCTTCCGCGAGACCATATATAGTGTACGCCGAATCTTTGATTGCCGTTCCCAATTCGGGCTGGCAAAAGCAGAGGACTGGCCAAAATTTGATCCGGTATAGGTGTGTGAAGTAGATTACAAAAAGTCTAGGTGCCTTCGGTGTTATTATCCTACAAGGATGGGGACCGCGTGATCTCTACTGGGCCTGATTGGAATCGCTACAAGATGTGGCTTCTAATCGATGTCAGTGGAGTTTCTGTTTTCATTTTGTGCCCATATTGCCTCAGTGCATGTCTGGAGACGCGAGGACTGTGCAATAATTGTAGAACGATAGTACTAACTCCCTTTCCCACTCACTTTTTTCTATTAATTGCAATAAGGCTTTCATTAATTCATGGTTGTGCGACAGTAAATTGTCAGTGCTGATAGTGTTCTTGTGTTTTTGATGATGATTCGGTCTCAAATTAAGTGTTGGAAAAGCCCACTGGATTCCGAAATCTTCAATCAAAATACACTATCATGTATAATAACTCTAAGTTTGAACGCAGTCATTTGATGACAACAACTCCAACTTGGATGGTTAGAAATGTTCACGGTCCTGCTATCCTGGCCTCATGAGCGAAATAATCGTTTTCCGTGGCTGAGTCAACCAACATGATTATGTCAGGATTGGAGAATCAACTTCTGCAAAAAAGGGTCAGATTCAATAGTGAACCAAGTTATACGGGAGATTCTACTTGAGCAACACAGATTAAATAATTAATCCCAGATGGAAGTATCTTTTTCAACACCAACTCTCAATCCGTATGTAATTATCCCTATTGTATCTCAGATTCCATAATTTAGATTTCCCGTCTAATGGGCGGCTTTGAGAACATCAGAAGCTGCTAGTCAGAAAGCATGGAGCCAATCAGAGTCCTCCGAATCTTGATGATAATATATTGGAGCAAGCCAAGGAGAGATATCAGATTTGGGATGATAACCTCTTTTGAATTCGATTAAATGTAAGGCAGAAAGACGCATCTCAAGAATGTTGAATCAGCAAAATTCTGTCTTCCTGTGCAGCGATTAGTTCAACCAAGTAGCACGTTCTTTCAGTACTTCTACAAGTTGATCAGTACATGTAGGGGACTGGTTGTGCATACGGTAACCTGATGAGTTTGTATCCACCTCCATTACGCTGGGTCAAATAGGGCAACAATGCTTAGAATACCTGTTTTCTGCAATATCGTTCACCATACAAAACAGCAGTTATGACTTGATACCTCATATGTGTTAAAATTTGCAAACCAAATTTGTTCGGTAGAACTTTTTGCCGCGATGATGATTATCGACCGTAACAAATGGACTCTATATAATCATAGGTACTCGTAATCTTTGTGTAGCTACCCAGCCTTTTCCCTATTACCTGAACTCTCAATCGTGGTAGATGATTCACTTTCAGACAGCCACAAAGTGCTAATTAGCGATGGAGTTACTGCCCGTTTAGAGCCAGCTTACATCCACCTATGTACTAAGTTGTCTATCTAGCAATGCCTTGTAATATCGCGCCCTCCAAAACTATTCTTAAACCATCGGACCGGTGAAGATAAAATGGTCTTTAATCTGTCCCATATATTACCAGGTTTGTACACGATAAAAATACTCGGTTTACTAACATCTTAATGAATATATTGGTGATAGTCACAATGAGTTTACCCTTCATATCTGAGCGATGATCAAGCCGTTCATCATACGCTACACTGCCGCTATCGTTTGGCTTAAAATTGTGGGGTTGTCAAGTAACAGTTTGGACAAACGAACAAACTGGAATATAGTAAGCCATTTATACACTTTTCCACATAATTTTCTTCTACATCCCTTGGCGTGTTCGTCACGGGCTAGGTACGGTGCCAAGAATAAGGGACAAGAAAGTCTGCTAACTTTAAAAGTGAACTAAAGTAACAAAGGGACAAATTTAAATCAGCAATAATTTGACGTGGCGAAGATGGCTAGACTCACTGAAATCGAATTTCAAAAAGTAGTCAGTGCCCTACACTAAGCACTAAAAAGAAATTAGTAAACAGACTGGCTTCAACTATTTCAGACAGTGAACCGAGCTCTTAAAAAGCACAACCATCGTGGCAAGCGGGTGCATGGAATGAGTCTGAAAACTGAGTTCCAGCTTGGTTGAAACCAATCTTAATACTCCCCAACTGATATATATATATATATATATATTAAAAGTTCAACCGGCAAAGATGTTATTTTAGCATGGAGAAAGGCCCATGCAACCTATCTAGTTGACACAAATATAGCTTTTGTTTTTTGCACTATTTTGGTATGATATGACTCGATTCCCAACCTTGCAGTAGCTGTCTACTACAGCTCCACAATACAAGAAAATCCCGACCGTTGAGTTTTTCTCGTGAGCTGGAATTTGGCCCATCGCAAGACCATTTGGATCTTGGAGGCTGTGTTCAACCGGATGTTATTTTAGCATGGAGAAAGGCCCATGCAACCTATCTAGTTGACACAAATATAGCTTTTGTTTTTTGCACTATTTTGGTATGATATGACTCGATTCCCAACCTTGCAGTAGCTGTCTACTACAGCTCCACAATACAAGAAAATCCCGACCGTTGAGTTTTTCTCGTGAGCTGGAATTTGGCCCATCGCAAGACCATTTGGATCTTGGAGGCTGTCCCACTGAGAGTTGTATAAACTGCAGGTCCACAAATAATAAAGGTTGGTACATTTTGCGAGACGCTCCTTGTTCCTGCGTTCGTTAACGGATCACTCGCCGGGTAGCGCTCAATGACAGCCGGCTCAAATAAATGTTCTGACCACTACGTCTGAAACATTGGAAACAGAGCAGCTCGCTGTCAAATTTCTCTGAATATAAACCACTAAGTCAGTAGGAAAGCAGGTATAGATAGAATAAAGAAAACGTCAAACGTTTTAAGTAATATCTGGATGTACAACCACTCACTTCTAATAAATTTAACACCACAGTCCCACCTACCAGGAGTAAATAAGCTGAGTTTCATGAAGTCGAAATTCACGACCGGGGTTTTCTGTTGCATGGACTATATTCTTAGACTTAGCCTCGACTAGGCAACTCTATTTGGATAAAATTATTAAAAATATACCTCCATCGGTGTATAGGTGATGGGCAGCTTCCATGTTTGTTCTGCCTCTTATTACGTCGTCGGTACTGAGTGACCATCTATGGACTAAGGAAGAGTTGCGAATTGTTGTAGGTTGATAAGTGCTAATTTTCAACCTCCAAGAAAACGAGCCGAAACATTCTGCTCTAGAGGTAGATGAGTACAGTGGAAGCAGGATCGTCACTTGTTAGTAGCATACACTCAGAATGCATTGTGCTGGCAGTTTGGGACGCGTCAAATCCAAAGGTATCCAAGCCACTCACCATAGTTTCATGTGATTTTCCAGCCCGGCTTCCTCGTTACTCGTTTTTGTGTTGCTCTGGTGAAATCCATACATATGCAGCTTTCGGTGCAGAGCTATTTTGTTTCTGTTAAATCATATGACGAGACCGTCTTCAGATTAGTTTTCCTCTTCAAAACTGCACTTTATTCACACATCGAGCACGGGTGAAACGCACAGTCTAGACTGACCGCTATTCTCTATCCGAAACTTATTCTACTTTCCAAACGAATCTCCTTACCTGTAGTTCCTGCGCAACCTCTGAGCTTCCGTGGGCTCAGTTTGTCACCAACACAGATATTTCTCAACTGGACTACTCCCCCTGTTGCTCAGGATGTTACCCTGGAGGATTACTTAATCCGTTATCGCAATGCTCCGGACGAATCCACTCAAAGTGAACCAATTGGTGTTCCTGTGGCAGCCACAAGCGAAAGCTTCATACTGGAGAACTTGATGCCAAATACAACCTACCACATATCAATCGCAGCTAGAACCAAGTTCGGGCTAGGTGTGGCTGCGCAAATTCAGGTTCGCACAGCAAGTAATGGTAAGTCGAATTATTCATATACTTTTGTTATACAAGGCGTTACAAAAGCACTGTCTTTTAGCTATAAATTCAACCAAGTGGATTTAGGAGACGTAACAACTTAGAAACAATGTGAGAAATTTTGAAGGCCACAAAACATTTCTGGGCACCGCATCTACCTAATGACGCGTTGCAATATCGCAATATGAAAAAGCAGCGCACAACTTTAGTGTTGAACATGCATTGGTTTGTGGTGGATTTTCCTGCCTAAGGTATTATAACCAATAGATTTCAGATAATCATAAATGACGTCCTTGGTGTGATAATTTCAACTCTGTGCGTTAAAAATTGCTTCTGTCAATCTCTTACTAGTAATACATGCGATGGTAGTGAAATGCAAATAAGATCATCATAGAATCATAGGCAAAGCAACAACCTGGTCGAAAAATGCAGTGGCTCCTATTATCTATAACTGAGTTGTATTCATGAGGCGCGGAGCTTCTGTGTGTTTTGTTCCTTGTCTCTGATTCACCGATAGGCTTCTGTACCCGACGGGACGTTCAGTGAAGTACAGCGATCATCATACTGCAGGTGAAATTACTGGGTAGCCAGTCATAGGCCTTCAGGGGGTTGTAGAAAAAGCCCACAGATCAACAAAATTTAACCATCACATTCTAAACAAGTCACTTTGTCTACATTGAGGATAAAACAGTTTGGAATACATAAGGAGGAAGAATAACAATACGCGCATCTGAAAGTCTCAGGAAAGTCCCGGTAACATTTCGGCTATAGCGAGAGAATGCATTGCCCCGGTTCCACATAAAAAGGAACAGCGGTATTTTCGGTTTAGCAGTGACGCTAAGAAAGGTTTAGTGAGTGGCACATAAATTTCAGATAGATTGGTGCTTTAACCGACTGTTTGTTCAAGTGAAGGTCAAACCAGCTATTCTAAAACTTTCCGGCTGTTCCCGGTGGTTGGAGCTACAAAAAACCGCGCCAGTTATAGAAGATGCAGACAGACAATTGGCAGAGCAGAGTATTGATTGAGTTTCATCTTTCTTCGGAGCCATAAAATGATGGCTGTTCATGCTCCTTTGATAGGCAATGTAGCAGTATGAATAGATAAACTCAATAAATTGTTCCTAATTCATAACATCAATACCGCCTCCTTCGGATCTTTGTGCGATGTTAAATCCGATAAAAAACTTGTGCTGGCATTACTGGTTTAATTGAGTGGTTATGATTGAGTATAGTCTGTCCTCACACTAGAATGTCATAAATTGAATAAAGTTAACTTCAGCAAATATAGTTATTGAGTGTTCGTTTCAACGATTCACTCAGGAGACTTCTCACAGCGTCTGATACCACTGAGGGCAATTTTCGTAATAAATCGGGTGAACTGAGTAAGAATTCGGTAGCAAATTTTCGTATGAGCAGCGTAGCATATTCCATCAACTATAGTATAAAAACCTCCGACACATCTGATGTTTCAAAGTGCAGTATGTGAGGTATGACTCACACTCAACCACTTAACTACTTTTCCTCTCCCCTTCTTCAAAAAGTATACAAACACGCTTGTGTTCCCACGCACAACAGCTCAGCCCAATTGCTTTTGGAAACTGGCACCCATTCGCTGCTGTTTGTTACAAAATCTGGAGCCAAAATAAATGACGCCTCTATGATTGATATTCCCATGCGGTTTGGCTTATGCCAAACAAAACCTATTTTGATAATGCGAGGTAAATCTGATAACTTTCGGAAGGCAGTGAACCACTTTACGAATGGCCAAGGAGCTATTTTCAATCAAATTTTCTTTGTTGATAAAATCTCCCAGATTAGAATGCGTATATTTTTTGAAAATCTAAATTTACTTGGATACGGTGTTCTGTTTGGCTAAGGATTAAGAACCGCCATTTTCTGTCCCTAATCCGGTTTTCATAAGGTCAGATGTCCAGACAGTGGGCAAATATCTAGCTGGTTAGACAAAAGACTATCAGGCTACAAAGATAGTCGGTAGAAGGAAACTGGGTTTTAGACAACAGATGTTCATCGATATGACATTGATGGAGGAATTCCAGAGAAAGCTACTTCTGGATTACCAAGCCAAAACGTGAAATTCACTTTGAGTAAGCTTCCCATCGTACGGAACTAGAGTACCAACAGCAACTTTGGCGTTGCCATTGAAGATGCTCCAGACTGGGACACTCCAAAAGAACTTCAACGAGGACATGGCGCATAACATTTAACTTCTTCCTGACTTCCTATGGGGCTCACACTCCCGTTGAGTCCATTTAGGTATTTAGAATTATTACAAACTAAGATGAGTACAACGAGAGAAGTGAGTACCCTGTGGTAAAAACAAATGAGTGCCTCCAAACTTATATGTGCTACAATTGAGGGTAACAAGAAATGAGTATCCATCGCCAAACCTCGGGGAATGGAGGTTTGCCAAATTCAGAATCAACCAAAATTCTTTCCGTAAGGAAAACTTAATGTTTAGTTGTAGGTTATAAAGTGTAATAAAAGTCTCTAAAAGCCAGTGATAAATCTTGTGACTTTCGTAATCCTCTCTGGATGTCTTGTGAAATACCGATGAAAAAATTACATTTATCATATATCAACTCTAGCTCAGCTTGCGGTGAATTGTGAGCCCAGTTTTTAACAAGCAAGTGATCCTAATTCTTCCGTGGGCGCATTTTGCTCTAGTCGCTTGACAGCTCTATTTCTGTAAATTAAAATTCTTCGACTCCGATAGCGCCCTACTGAGAAATGCCAAAATGTGTGATCGTCCAAGAAAAAACTTGTTATCTAATAAATATAATCATGAGCGTTTTGGATACTAATCTAAATTACTTCCGGCACTTTTTGGGATGAAAAACCCCAAAGATAAATACATTGCATCCTTATCTGAAAACTCATCAGGGAATTGTATGCTACGGAAGACATAATACTTAAATTGCCACTTAGCTATTGGAGCGTATAGATAATAAAACACATGCATAGAAAGAATGAAGCAACCCATTGTATGGCCAGACCAACAAACAGTTTTCTGTTGTACGAGTACGGGTATTGGGGCTTACCACGTGGCAGGGTACTGAATGTTTTCTCGTCAGGTTTTTCATCACAAAGGCCTTCAAATGATCGGACAGTACTCCAGCTTATTTTGATTTTTACATACCTTCTAATATTAATTGGAAACATTGCTGTTCAGGCGAGCTGACTTGAAACCTTACTTAAAAATACGGCCTCAGAATCTTGTGTTTATGCGAAATTTAAGCAAGTGCTGGCATGAGTGTTCAGTACGGGTAAAGATCTGGAAAGAACACCGTCAGTGGCTTAACATGGATGGTCTTCTAACGCCGTGAGATATTTCTGCAACCCGAGAAGTGACGAAAAGAAACTTATTTTTTGCCCATACCTTTTCAAACTCGCCGGTTGTCTTGGAGAAGTCGAATCCACATTAGGTCCTATCAATGGATTTGGATAAGTCTGTTGGGTTCCTCAGGTCATCTTGTGTGATAAGATCTACGTCGGTTTCCGCAGTACTCAGGCAAAAACATTTTCCAAGGGGTTACCAAGGCTTTGGGTATTCTCTAATTTAATGATTCAATTAGTGAAATAAATCCCCATGTATAACATCCTGCTAAAATTTATAATGGGAAAAACTACCTCAGCATCAGACAAACGCCATTGGGAAGTTATTAATTCCAATTTACAAATTTTACATATTTGAAGCTTAACTTAAATGTTCTTTGGTTCCTACCAAACTTTAAATGTTGTATTCCTTGGTACATTGTATTTGCCAGCACAAATATAGCACGTCAAGATCAGAACAATTTGGCCCGAAGTGCTGGAGTTTTTTGTTCCTGTTTTAACTGAGGATTCACTTATTTGACTCCCTGAACTCCAAACTGGCTCCTTTGGATAGTTGAAAGATTTGAGACCTTTCTAAGTAGAGATTTCGTCGTGTGAGTATCTGCTGAAAAGCCAAGAATTACAGTGCTTTCGGCTTTACGGCGTAAAATGATTTTACACACAGAGAGAAATCTCCAATAAAACAAGAACAGCTTTATTATCCAAAAGAGGAAATGGTTTAACTAACACAAAAGGTGACTGTACGTGCCATTAAAATACTGATGATGTGAGAACCACTCGTGTGAAAGTGTGATGAGTGGAGCATTCCGTGAATTGGGTGCTCTTAAGGCGCAGATGGAATCCATCCCCAGATGGCTCATCTACCGACTAGCGTCTAAATATAGAGCATTTCACAGACCGCTACAGACTGTCAGATGCTAATAGCTCATGGCCATATCCATTCACACAAATTTCGTGAGACATCCACTGTTGCGTCGTTTGTAATAATGTGTTGCTCGTTTGATACCATACTACAAGCCATGTCTTAATTTGGCACATACCACCTACTGCGCTTTTCCTATATGTGTAAAAAGTACGTTGTATTCATATAAATCCAGCAACCCTGAATGAATTGATCTTACTAAAAGAAGACTATGACGTCAAGATCAACCACCAAGCCATTAGGAAGGTGATTTTATTTTCTTTCTGCTTGTATGTTTAGCTGGGTGCATAACGTTTAGGTGCTTGAACATTTTCCTCACAGACTGAACAAATCAGTTTGCTTAGCAAATTTAGACTCCATAAGAAACTTGTGAATGTTGTTTTACCCTTTGTTTCTATGGAATAGGCTCAGATATGCTGGACACAAAGCACACCTTACTGGTGTCCACGGAAAAGATTTCGACAAATAGTTCTCAGTAATTAAAAGTTTGACCAAGTTGTTCAGTTCAAATCGTAGAAATGAAATAAAAACTACCGGGAGACTAGACGACACAAGTGATTTTTCACTTGTCCCATGGATGCCACACCAGCTGTACACCATCCTAAGCAGAATCCACCGCCTTCCTGGATTGCATACAGGGCTCGTCAGCATAACCTCATTTCCTCAAGTTTGATTGCTGTGCATATAAACCTAAACAAACGAAATCATCATTGATGACAAAAA